CCTCTTTTTGGGGGCCATAGTGTAGCAAAGTGTTGGCAGTGTGTTTGTTGTTTTGTTTTGTGTATATTTGTGTGGTAGTGGCTGTCAATGTTTGCTTGCTAGAGAGAAAATCTAGCTGAAGGCAGAAATTTGCCAATGGAACATGGATGAACCCAGGAGGTAGCCCAAGCCAAAAGTTTGGTGTCAAACTTTTGATGTTTTTATGTTTCCTTTTAATTTAATAATAAAACAAAAAAAGTTTGAGGCCTAAAAGTTTGACATCAAACTTTTTTTGTTTGATTTTTAAGGTGGTTTGTCTATTCCCCACCCACACCTCTCGACCACCAAACTCCTTTTTTTCGGAAAGCAACTGGCCATCTTTTGGGCCAGCTTCCAAGCCTTGCTCAGGCTCTGCCTGGTCTCTTACCAAGCTTTCTTGCCTACAGCCTTGTTCAGGCTCTGCCTGGTCTCTTACCAAGCACTTGCCTACAGCCTTGCTCAGGCTCTGCCTGGTGTTGAACCAAGCATTTTTGCTTGCAGCCTTGTTCAGGCTCTAGAATTCAAGTACCTTCTTGGATTGCTTTTTTCTTTTCTTTTCAGCTTCTCTTTCCTCCTCCTGCTCCTCTTCTACAGGCTCCTCCTCCTCCTCCTCCTCCTTACCACCATCATGGTCAGCACAGCCTTGTTCAGGCTCTATTGGGTTTGCTTGCTCAGCTTCTACTGGCTGTGGTTGAGCCTGTGTCTCTAGCAAAGGCTCTTCTTTTGCTTCACAGCCTTGCTCAGGCTCTTGTGGTTGAGCCTCTGGCTCAGGCTTTGCTTCACAGCCTTGCTCAGGCTCAGCTGGTTCTGGTATTGCATTCAGCCCTTGCACAGGCTCTGGGTTATCCTTCACCTCTTGTGGGGACACGGTTTCAGAGGTGTTTGAATAAGATGATGGTGTTCCTGGACTGGCAGCCTTGCCTTCTCCAGGCACCTTTTCCCCCAACTGTTCCTTTTGTACCTGGGCAGGTGTCCCTTTTGAGGGAGGTGGCTTGCTTGGGCTTCTGGGCTTTCTTTCCCTGGACTTTGCTTTGCTCTTTCCCTTTTCCTTGCCTTTCCCAGGCTCCTTACTTTTTGGTCGCTTTTGGCCTTGTCCAGGCCCTTTGCCTTTGCCTTGTTCAGGCTCAGCAGCAGCAGCTGCTGCTGCTGCTGCTTCCCTGGCAAGGGACACCAAATAGGCCATTTCTTTCTTGATGGCCTTCATGTCAAGCACCTGAGGAAGGAGATGCTCAGGCACAGGCTGCCCTTCCCTCATCAACTTCCTCTTTGGGATTCCCTCCCTTTCAAGTCCCACCTGCTGGGCCTGAGGGGTGTCTCATCCCTTGACCTTGAAGGTGACCTTGACTTGCCTTGCCCAGGCTCTGTTGGTGTAGAAGGCTGTGACCATGAGCCTTGTTCAGGCTCTGAGGGGGTTGCTGGCTGTGACCAGCCAGCCCAGCTCTGCCAGCTTTCCCAGCCTTGGTCAGGCTCCCACTTGTGCTCAATTTTTGTTCTGTAGCCAGTTGACCTATCCCACCACCCAAATTCCCAATTTCTATGGTAGCCTTGCTCAGGCTCTTGTGAGGGTGCCAAGAACTGGATGAACTGGAGGCTTGGCCTTGTGCAGGCCCATACCCACCAAAATAACCCTGTGAAGGGTCATAGCTGAAGGGTCATTGCCTTGCGCAGGCTCAACAGGCTGCAAGGGGGTGGCTTGCTCCCACCCATTTTGTTCAATCCCCCAGTGGGGGCGCACCCATCTGCCTGTGTCAGGGTTGAAATAGGGAGCTTCCTCATCAGTCTCCCATTCCTCTTCCCAAGCACAGCAGGCAGATTCACCTGCGATGAAAGCACCTATGGTCCAATCATCTTCAACAGCCTTGTTCAGGCTCTCCTCATCTTCAGGCATGAGGGTGTACCACTTGCCTTGAAGGCTTTGGTACCACCTCTGGCCCTTAAATTCTCTGACCCTCCACCACCTGAAGGCAGAGTAGCCAGGCTCAGCCAAGAGTGCTAGGCTGAGCACAGCCTTGTTCAGGCTCAATGCAGGCTCAGCCATGAAAGGCAGGATGAGCAAAGCCTTGCGCAGGCTCAAAGCCTTGTTCAGGCTCTTGGTGGCCAGGCATGCCACCAGGCAAGCCAGCAGCACAGCTGCCATGGCTGAGAACCTAGAACACCTAGGTTGGGAGGACTTGTCCTACACATGGTGCGACCCTTTGTGCTATGTTGTCATGTAATATTTTGTCCTACATGGTTTGCTTAGCAGTTTGGTAAGTATGGGTGTATGTGGTGGATGCTGTGAGTGTGTGTGTGTGTGTGTGTGCAAGTTGCTGTTGCTTGACATGAAGTCTTGCTTGAGCCAAAACATCAGGTTGTGTGGACTTGGGTTTAGGCTTTCTGGTTTGGAGTTTGTTTTCTGTAGCTACCTTTTTTCACTCATGCTATGAAAGCTTTTTGTGAAACTTGAAACATAGCCTTGCCCAGGCTCTTCACCACCCTGTGGGAATCATTCTTGGGAAAACTCTTTTTGAACCATTGCCTTGCCCAGGCTCTACACCAGCCTCCCCCAGGCTCAATTGCCCAGGCTCTACACCAGCCTCCCCCAGGCTCAATCAACATTTCTGGTGGCACTGACCAAGTCATTCTTGAAAGCAACAAGCTGTGCCTTGCTCAGGCCCTGCTCATGCTGTGCCTTGTGCATGAGGGCTGACATGATCCTGTCTTGCTCATGCCCTCTTTCTCTTTCCACATTGACTAAGCAATATGGTTTGCTGTGTGCATCATTCCTGGCCTGTATGTAGGCCTTCTTGGCTGCCTTTGTGGGCTTGACCCAAGAAAAAGACATTGATCCATGCCAAGCCCCACTGGCAGCCATTTCAATGGGAGGCCTTGCGCAGGCTCTGGCAGCCTCTCCATCCCCCACATCAGCTGCAGGCCTTTTGCAAGCTCTTTTTGCTGCTGGCCTTTTCTGTGCAGCTGGCTTTTTCAATGCTGATGGCCTTTCCATGCCTTCCAAAACCTCTGCACCAATGCAACCACTGCTTGCCTTACCCAGGCTCGATCCAGCTGAAGAACTAATCTCCTCCACCAAAGAAGAAGGAGACAGCTCAACCTCTCCAGAGTCTTGGATGATGATTGGTGAAAGATTTTTGGAAGGTGGTGACTTAACTGTCAACCTCCTCTTGATGCCTTGCACAGGCCCTGCTTTGCCTTCCACAGGCTCTGCCTTGCCTTGGGCAGGCTGGCCATACACAGCATGCATGAGGGAGAGAACTGCTGGAGTTGTTCTCACTCCACTCTTGAGATTCTTCCATTTCCTCAAAGTCCATTTTCTCACTTCCATAATGCAATTTGCAATCATTCTGGCTTCACTGGCCTGCAGCCTTTTGCAGGCTCCTTGGAAAACCTTTTGCACCTTCTGCTTCTGAAGGTGTCGCTTCAAAAAACTGTCAAGAAGCCATGGTGCCTTATGCAGGCTTGTTCAGGATCTGCACTCCAATTCTTGGGATCCCTGGTGTCAGGAAAAGCATTTACCAGGGCCACAAGCTCCTCATCATTGCCTTTGTCAGGCTCTACAGGCAAGCATGCAGCCATGGCACTCTTGACCAATCACTGTGCACAGTGTGCTTTGCAATTGTGATTCCTGTTGTGATTAGATGTAAATCTGTTCATGCAACCATACAAAGAAGAGCTTCTTTGAATAACAAAGAAGAGCTTCTTCAATGTTGAAGAAGTGCTTCTTGAAGGCTCCAAGAAGAGCTTCTTTATTTTTGCATGTTGAAAAAAGAGAAGCTTAGTTTCTAAGCTGCTAGAGCATCAAAAGGCTGCGAAGAAGACAGGTTTCTTAGCTTCGAAGCTTAAACCCATGCTTCCAAAAGGTAGCTTCTCAAAAGTCAGAAGCCACAAAACAGGGATCGCATCTAAGAAACTGTTCTTCTTGGAGGCTTAGGGCAATCGCGCTCGGCGACCAATCGGCGGCACAAATAGTGAGAGAGAGAGAGAGAGACAGCCGTGCACGCATTCAATTTGTTGCCAAGACTCTTTCACACAGGACTGGAGATGCTTCATTTGTTTTCTCATCGAATCCTTGAAAAAAAACATCGCAATGCCAAATTCAACTTGCAAGCTGTAAACGCCTGGTTTAATGTGCTGCCTGGGTGCTCCGCCAGACAAGCAATCCAGCATGTGGGAAACTTGGTGTTCTCGGTCATGACCTGCGCCAGCGGCTGAACTTTAAGTATTTTATTAAGCTGGCATGCATCTGGGATTGGATAAAACGCTTCTATTTTCACTTGCCATTGGGTCGTCGACTGGTCAGTAGATACGTCGAGTGAATCCAAATTGGATTCGAAAAGCCGCACATGAGCCATTCCAAATCAAAGTGTGTATCACACTCTGGGACTAAGGCCAATGTTGGCTATCCCCGCTTGGAAGCCTGCGCTATACTCATAGACTCGCTATTATATATATATATATTTACAGCTGCAGGATAATGCAAGCATAGCATCTAAGTTTTCCCAAAAACATCACACTGGCTTCCAAGAAACACACGCTCTATGTTTTCTTATTGGATCCGGAAGACTGTGCCTTTTCCGACACCTTCCGCTTTTTTCCAGTGATGGGTTCCATCTTCTGGTCAAAAACACTCAGGGATTTGTTTGCCTCTGCCACCAGTTTCTTGGTGTGCTCCACGTCCTACAAACGTATCACGCCACATATGTGTGTACAGTAAGGTACATACTGCCTGGTTGCTGTCCTTTGACCCAGCGTCCAAGGCTGTTTGCAACACCGTGCGCTTGCTGGAAATGTCCCGGACCAAGTTATCAATCTCCGTTTCGATTGCTTTCCGGACGTTGGGCGACCTTATAACTAGCATAGTGGGAACATGTTGAAGGGATCAAACATCACTACAAGCAACCAGGCCACCAAGTGCTCGTAGATGATTTCTTTTCAAGGGCGGTCTTGATTCTGCTGTTCATTGAGCCGATTGCCTGAAAGAGTAGTTATAGATAGTTTGTGCCTGCACGCGTATATGCACACAATATAGCACTACTAGCCTTCTTCAGGTCAGAGATCGACTGCTTGTGTTCTTCCTTTCTCTTTGCGGCTTCCTCTTCTTCGGGAGTCTTCTTGGTCTTCTTGTTCTTCTTGCGGTTCTTCTTCTTCTTCTTATTCTTTCCATTCTTTTCCTTCTTTCCCTTCTTTCCCTTCTTGTCTTTCTTTGATTTCTTCGACTTGGATACCTATATAATATATAGATCGGTGAATATCCAAATTTCAAAAAACACGAGTGTGGACAATTTCAGCCAAGCCTTGCCCTTCTTACCTTTCTTCTTACCCTTCTTCTCCTCCGACTGGGAGGAAGAGCTCCCGGATTCGGATTCCGAGTCAGAGGATCCGGACGCGTCGCTGTCGCTCACATCACGGCCTGTTCCTGAGTCCTTCAAGCGAAAGATGTCAGCAATGCGGCTGCATTCGAGCGCCTCTTCTTCATCCTGTACCAGAACTAGGTACTGTTGGACCGACGGGAGCTCGGGGTGATCCCGGACCTCAGACTCACGAAGCTGCTCGTCAGCGAGCTTTCGAGCAATGATTCCGTCCACTATGTCGGGATCGTTATCAAAGAAAGGCAACATTTGGGTACGGGTGAGCCATCTGCGCACACCTCTCTTTTTGTTTTCAGAACTGTTTGTGATCTCCTTGTAGATCGCACTGTTTGTCCACTCACCTCCGCATGCCCAAAAGTCCTCGTAGAGGGCACTTTGCTGGTCCTTGCCTAGGAGCTAATGGGAAGCATCTGTTATTCGAATTAAAATACTTAGATTCGAACACCATCGTGCGCTCTTGGCAAGCTGCTTGATCTTCTCTGGCGTTTTTGGACCTTACATGTACGGGCTATTGTATACTGCAAATTAGCACTGATCAGCATCATGCACTAGTTGCAAGCTAGGCGCTCTTGTTCACCGATCGCCAATACTTCATGTACATAGCATGCGCTCGCCTTTGTGATTCGGTTAGATCCTTATCCTTTGTCTCCTTTTCCTTCTTCTCCTCGGTCTCGGTCTTCTTCTTCTCCTTCTTCTCTGGTGATGCTGCTGAAGTCGCTTTGTCTTTTGCCTTGGTTGCTTGTGCTTTCACCTTGGGAGATACCTTTGGCTTTGCCTTGGGTTTCGGCTGACTCTTGGACTTTGGTGTTGCTTTGCCCTTGGGAGCTGGTGTTCGGGGGGGGCAGCAGGTTCAGGCAAACTCTCAGTTCTTGCTCTCCTCAACCTCTCCAACTTTGCTTGCTGAAGATGCTCCTTTGTGCGCTGAGATGCTGTACCTGCCAGACTCTCACCCTTGGCCTCATCCACCTTGGAACCATCCTGGCCCTTGTTGTTGTCAGTCTTCTTGTTTGGCCTCACTACAAGCTTTGTAGGTGCAGATTTGGGTTCAGCCTTGTTTGCTCCACTGTTGCTGCTACCCGTACCTTTGGGCAGATTCTTTGGTGCCGGGGATGGCTCGTACTTCTTGGTCTTAGCTGAACCTGGTGTCGGTGTCACGAGATCCACTGTACCTGCTCGGTTTAATGCTGCCCTTTCCTGTGTACCCAAAGATTCAGTCGACGAACACTGACCTAACACCAAAGTCTTGGATGAGCAGGACTTGCCAAACAGTCCCCTCCGAGCAGGGGTTGCAACAGCCGTCGTCTGACTCTCCTGCTTTTTTTGCGTACCTGAGGCTGCAATAAATCATCGATGATGGTCCGGTGGCACGGCTGGGAACATGGTGGGCGAAGGTTTTGTTCTAAGCACTAGGCTCTGAAGTTCTTGAGTCTCCCAATTATCCTGGGGCTGGGCATCTTCTTCGTTCCTAGGGCCACGGTTAAGAGTTTCATGATCAATATTATAGATTGTTCTGCTCAAAACGCTAAGCCTCTAGCAAAACTCGTTTTCTTTCCAGTCTTGCGGCCGCTCTTGCAGCCCTAATCTTGGCCTTTTCCCGGGCTTCTGAAAGTTCCATGGCAAAAAAAAGCCTATAGTAGCATGTGCTAGGCCCGAGTCACCTTGAACACAAAAACACAAAAAAAATACCAATTCAAAAGGGTCTGTTTTCACGGGTTTTTCACGGCCTTTCACGCTGTTTTCACGGGTTTTTCACGGCCTTTCACGCGTACAGAGTTCGCTTCCGAAAACAATCGAATTTATCACGTTCGTATTGGTTTCGAACATGTTAATTAACAAAAGGCAGCTGCCTCTCACAATCACTCGAATTGGAAGGTAGGTTTAAACCTCCCTTCTTGAATCTCTGATTTAGGAAGCTTGAGATCTCACCAAGGCGGGCATGACGCCAATTTAGTGGGGCCTTCCTCTTTTCAGCCTCAACCAAAATGTAGCGGCTCAAGAGGTACTCTGTTCGAAGAAGCTTTCCCGCCTTGGTTCCAAGCCTTTTCATTGCAGCCAAGAACCTGAACCTTGAAGTATCCGCCTTGGCAGGGCTGGAAGGTTGAGATTTGGGTGGGATATGCGCCAGTCCTGTGTTCTACAAGCCATCCAAGTACGACACCATCAATTTCAGTTGCTTGTGGGCCACAACCCGTCCAAATTTGGACGGATAGATCTGCGTTTGCTTCAGTAGAGGCCCACCAGACCTGAATCAGATATCTAACATGGTGGTCATGATCGATTTTTGATTCAAAACAGCGTATATATATATACATAGACAACTCTGGATTGGGTATATGTCGTCTGAGACTCGAGCACAGAGGTTTTTCCATGCTGGTTAATTGTCTTCTTCGTGACCCCCCGTGAATCCAACCCAAGCTTGACTTTGTCCTGTTTGCGAAGTTTGCGGTACAGCCTTGCCCCCCCAAGTCCTCAGGTCTTCCAAGTTCCAGCTATAACTTCAAACACTTGAGCTCTAGATCTAGCAACTGATCACCCCAATCACCGCTGAGGCCAGATCACAGTGCCGATCAGCATGCTCGGCTTTGGTGTCTTGGACCCATACCAAGCCATCCAACTCGGTCACAAAAAATGAACAATTATTCATATTATTTATTATATAGTCGAATTCATATATTCCACAAATCATCTAATTCTATAACTATATAACTATAAGACTAGAAGCTATATAGCACAATTATGACCTCAGGGCATGGTCCGCTGAGAACCCCGCAATCGGTGGAGCTTGACATCAGCAAACCCACGAAGGACTTTCTCGACCCAGAGCAAGTATGGGCAATGCTTGAAGGTGGATGATCCAGGTTGTTCAATTCCAAAAAAGACAGCTCGAACGGATGCAATGAGGCAAAGGATCATGAGGCGGGCAGATAACCTTAGCAGTTACTACTACTGAAGCCTCTTTACTAGTACAGGCCTGACTGATATCGATTCTTGACAATTAAAGCTCCAAGCAACGTGTTGCTGTCTCGCACGTGCTGTTTGCTTTCATCACCAAACGGGCAGGATTCGCTACGCATCGATGTACCCAGGTTTATGAATACATAACTGCAACATGGCAGGGCGGCAAAAAGAAGGCCAAATTCCATGAGCCTCATAGTGCCTTCCATGGCCCTCACCATCCCACGCCTAAGAGAATTAATTGGAGGCTGCGTGCGCACGGTTCTCCAAACCAACCCCAAAGACCATGGTTATAGAGCCAGTTTTGGGGCACGTCGATCAATCCAGATTCAACAGCTAGTGCTTTGGGGGCCCAGCGTTGTCAAGAGGTCATCCTCCTCCCTCAGCGCCACTTCCAGGAATTCCCTTGGTTGCCCAGGGTTGTACCGATTGTCCTTTTGAGCATCGCTGAGGCATCGGCGTCTTTTTCCCAAGCCGGCCTCGAGAACGACGCCGCTCGTCATGGCCATGGGGAATGTTAGGCTGCGCGGGATGAGTTTTGGACCAAACCCACGTGATATTGATTGTTCTCCCGCAAACATGTCGTACGCCACAAGATCCTGGCAAAACGATTTGCTAAACAGCTATTGAATATGGCGCGTGCTAAAAATTAGACACTCCAGACCGAGCTTTGAACCCGCCGCTGATGAGGGCTAACTTGGCATACGTAGTCACAGAGATGTATCCTGAGAGCCGGGTTTGCTCCATATACGTATACATATATACTTGAGAGAGGAGGGGGGTGAACGAAAGGTAGCAGGGAATCAGGCGTAATCCGGGAGGAGGTGAGAGGCCCCCCACTTGTTTGAAGAGAAGTGAGTGAGCGTGATGAAAGAACAACTAATGCACAAACGCTTGACAAAACCTCCAGAAGCTGTAGCGGTCTAGCGGTTTCAATACAGGTTGACGTGCCTTCAAAAGGAGTCACATATTTCTCAAATGCAACTTCGGATTTACATAGTGACGTGCGGCGACCCTTTAAATTGCGTGGCCGCTGGCCATGCTTGCAAACAGGACGTGCTCAAAAACACTGGTATTTACGAGGTTTCGTTGCCGTCGATCCACAGCCGCGGCAAGGTCTAAGGCCACGCTTGAAGACAGGAGGAGCTGAAAACACTGGTATTTACGGTATTTTGTAGCCGTCGATCCAAAGGCGCACCACGGTTGAGCGCTGGAAAAGCGCAGAATACCGTGTAAATACCGGCGTTTTCTGCCGGGAAGGCGCACAAAACCCTGTAAATACCATAGTTTTGTGCAATTTTGAAGCCTCCAAAAGCCTCAAAAACCCTTTCTGACAAAATCTTTCCTGGTTTTTGGTCTTTTTTTTGTAATTTTTCTAACCGAGGCGCATCAAAAACCATCGGTTTTTGCGGTGTTTTTTGCCGGACAGGCACAAAAAACGCTGTAAATTCCATGATTTTTGGTCACTGCTGAGGACTGGAAGAGCTGAAAACACTGATATTTACAGTGTTTTCGATCGGTTGACCCCGAGGCGCGCTAGGGTGGAGTTGAAAGGGGGGGGGGGGGGCCCCCCCCCCCCCCCAACCAGCAAACGAAGATGTCGGGGACCATTTCTCCGAGAGATAGGCTGCAGCTCTGGGTTAATACATTTTTGCTAAAGCAAAAGGAAAACTCAGGTAGCGTAACCGCTACCTTTCGTGATATGTCTCCAGCTCAATGTACTGGGCTTGCCACACGATCAGTGGAATGCCGCAGGCCAACAATGCTTGGACATGAGATTTAGTCAATTGCAATGGCCGGTGCTTGGCCATCACGGATTCCAGTCTCAAGTTTGTTTGAGCAGCTAGGGTGGTGGCACTCGAAAGCAACAGCAATGACTAAGGAGTAGAGTAGCAGCTAATAGTGAGTAGCTGCTATATTATAGCTAGTTGGCATGGCTCTCAAAACTGGCAGATGCACCAATTGGTTCCGGACGCATTTTGAAGCGTGGCGGATGCACACCAAATGCAACTCCTTTGAAAGGGCCGCGCTCAAAATGGAAAAAGATCTTGAACGAAGTGCATGGAAGGAGGTCACTTCCATGAGGCCAAGATGAGGCACGCCTTCCACCTCAAAACTTAATACAGTGTGAGTCGAGAGAATTATGACTGTTCAAAATATATATGAGGCTTTGGCGCTTGCTCGATGGATTCAAAGCGACGCCACCCCACTGTGAGCCCAGCTCGCTTCTTCTTATTCACCTCGAACAAATGGCTGTTTGACTTCTTTATATATGTTGAAGATGCATGCGCCTCGAAAGAAGTGCCGTACGCAGAGTTGTAATCTTCCACCATGGTTTCATCAACTCCAGTGATGTAGAAACTTCTTGCATAGGCCCTGAGTGTCAGTCAGCTGACTAGGCAACTAGTACTGTTACAACAGCCCTCCCCCTTTCTGAGGCCATGACACCACTCCGATCGATGGCAAGCTGTCAGCGGAAGGACTGTAGATCGTCCACGACCGCCTAGTCGGGAAACCACGGGCATGTGCAAAAGGTTGTGTTTCTTATGGCCTTTTTGATGGGTCTTCAGGGACAAAGAAAAAGTGGTCGTCGTTTTCAAGCTGGAGCAGTGCTTCCATATCGCTTTCCAGAACCTCCTCCATACAAGTCGAAGCAAATCTAGAGGTGTGGGAATTGGAATTGCGATGCTGTTTCATAATACGACGTACATGCAACAGCCATATTACTAGCCAGATCTCCTTAGACTGCGGTTCTTTGCCTTTGGGTTTTCGAATCCTTCGTGTTCGAATCCTTTCTGGCCATCTTTGAAGAGCTAGAAGGTGCACTCGCAGCAGGCCGTTTCAGGTTAGGGACAGGAGCTG